CGGCCCCGCCCCCGCCCCCGCGGCGTGAGGTTTAATCCCGACAGCTTCAGATAAAGGGCGCAGTTGTAAAACGCTCACATGCTGTTTGCAGACGAGGCTCTGGGGATGTTGGAGAATTTGAAAGTAAACGTTTCCTTCGCAAGCGGCATAAAATAGTGTTTAAACAAATATTGTATTGGCATGCTCAGGGGGCTCGGTGCCAAAAAGTAAAGTAAATAAACTGTGAAATCCAAAATATACAGCGGTGGAAGGCAGGGCGATAGGCGGGCTCCTCACAAGTCCCCGATGAAGTTTGTTTGTTTGCGCCACCTCACCTACAAGGCCCCTCCGCGCCCATTTCCTCACCTCGGCTGGCAGGTCTCCTCCCTCTCCCGGGCGTCCTGCAGCTCCCAAGGCTGGTCCCCCAGGGGAGGGGAGCACCCTGGCTGAGCCGCCTGCTGGGAGTTCTGATGCTCTGGACGCTGTCCCAGCTCCGGGCCTGCCTGGGGCAATCTAGACCCAGGATCTGGAACCCCAGATGCGCCTTGTCCCGGCCTCTCTTCTGGGGCCTCTGACCTCCCTCCTTGCTTCTCTTCATCTTTCTTGCTTTCGTTTTCCTAGACTTGCAGCCGCTCCCTCCTGCGGCTGAGGGTTACAGGAAATTGTGGAGATGTTCTCTCCCAGATTTAAATTCCACTCCAACCCAGACGGGGACAGTTGTCACTTCTCTGAGAGTTTCAAAGTTGGTTATATTTTGAAATATTTAGGGTGGCTTTGTATTTCTCCTCTGCTTTGAGAAATAGGCTACTTTCGTGAGGTTTAGTGGTTCTGGGGGGATGTAAACTAATGCAGGAAGGTCCCATTCTGGGAACAGCCCTCTCTTGGTCCGGCATCCGGGGAGAGTGTGGCCAGACCTGTCTGTTTTCTAAGTCAATAGATGCGCATGAGAAGGAGAGGAGAGGAACGCTCCCAAACCAGGGCCGGGCTCACTGAGGAACGAGGCGGGGCTGTGAGAGATGTTTTCACCTTCCGTGGGAATTGTTCTGGGGATTTGACACAAGGGTCGGCCTCCTTCCACAGAGCCTCCCAGGTTCCCCAGCCTTGGGGGGGGGGGGGCTCTTGGCCTGCCCCCCTTGAAGTGTGTGTGTGAGAGGTAGACTAGGCCCCTCTGGCCCAACAGCCTTAGGGCGGAGGCCACTCCATTGCCCCAGGGATGCTCCAGCCCACAAGAGGGGACCACAGGGCCACCGGCCCGCGGCTGGCTGCCGGGCTTCAGGGGGCTTGGGAGCTGTGTGCTGAAGCTGGCTTGTTTGCTCTGCAGACTGAAAACCCCTTGAAGTGTGTGTGTGAGAGGTAGACTAGGCCCCTCTGGCCCAACAGCCTTAGGGCGGAGGCCACTCCATTGCCCCAGGGATGCTCCAGCCCACAAGAGGGGACCACAGGGCCACCGGCCCGCGGCTGGCTGCCGGGCTTCAGGGGGCTTGGGAGCTGTGTGCTGAAGCTGGCTTGTTTGCTCTGCAGACTGAAAAATACACAAATACTTCATGCTTTTTGTACTCCCACAAGTGCCCTGTACACAGTGTAGCCCCTAGGACTGGATTAGCAAAGCAGGGGATTCCGCAGCAGGAGGACAAAATTGGATATTTGCCTAATAAACACCCTTCATCCATCAGGGCCTGGGGGGGGGGGCGGGGCGCGGAGCACTTCACCTCACAAATGCCAGCAATCCCCTTTAGCTGGGACCTGGGGGTTGTCTTGTGCACTTTGAACGCCTGTGTGACCCCTGCACATGTGGCTGGCTTATGAAAGGTCAACACCCGAGCCCTCCGTTGTGTGCACTCTCGGGGAGGCAGCCGGTCTTTTCCTGGTGGAAGTGTGTTCCGCAGGGCTTTCTTTCACCGAGTGTTGCTCACTCATGGCCCCAACCAGCCTCGCTGCTTTAGGTTGGGGGGTGGTTTCTACCTGTGCCAGGGCCTGGGTCCTGGTACTCGAGGGCCTCCAGGCAGGTGGCCCTCGGTGGCCCTGGGGTGGACAGCTGCAGCTGTTCCTGCGGGGCCAGGGCCCTTTGAAAAGGAACCCCAGGGAAGCAGTCCCCTTTCTTCTTTTCAGTAAGCGGCAGAGGCAGGGACCAATGAAACACGTGAAGAATGCCAAAGAGAAGAACTGTTCTCAGGTTCCAGAAAGTGCAGCGAGGCGAGGGCCCCAGAGAGCAGAGTGCACAGCAGTTTCAGGGGACAGGCTCACGGCTGCCAAACAGCACCGGAGGGAGCTGCCCCGCCTGCTCCTCAGTGGACAGCCGCGTTTGGTGTGTCCTTTGGTGTAGAGCAACCGCTTCCTGGTTTTCAAATAAGTGCAGGACTCCAGGTTCAATGTGACTCATTTTCTCTGAAATGAATTTGAGCGTTTGCTGTGGCAGAGAAAGGCATTAAGAAAACAAATCACTGATCGTTGTTTGTAGATGCTGAGGGTGACGGATACATCCTTACCCTTCATAATCTATGTTTAAAGCTGTGGGAAAGTCCGACAACCATAACTGCATACTTTCTGCATGGTTAGCATCTTATTTTCTCAGTTTCTTCGTCAACAAAAGCGTCCTCAACAATCCTGTGTTGTTCTGATTCTAGTTTCTTTTATACAAGTGGGGGAAAATAACTTATTTAAGATGTGACCAGAGAGTACACAGTAAACCGTCTTTGTGATTTTGGTTTACGTTGAGTAAGTGAATGTGGCTTTGTGTGTGCGCATGTGTGTGGTTAAAAAACCAGGTTGCCGGGAAGAGCGTCTTAACTGAGTGCCGGGTTTCATGCATTAGCATAAGAAAAAAGTTGTAGTGCATTTACTATTGTCTTGAATGAGGAGTTCCAGCAAAGGGAAGGGAAGCCCAAAAGGGTGATGGTCCATTGAGATTCCTCAGCGGCCTCAGCTGGTCATGGCTGAAATCTGTGATCGGATATCACTTTTATCTTGCTTTTCCATTCTCAGGCCTTTTTCACACGTTCACTTTTGTCAGGGTTTATTGATTATGTTTTCTTCTCTGCAAATCTGTGGAAAATTTAATGAACCAAAAACATAGTGAAATAAAGGGGACTTTTAATTCATTAGCACGGGATTGATTTCCCCCCTTGGGGGAAGGTCCCTGGCCTCCCCAGCGAGTGGGGGGTGGGGAGGGCGGGTGGCCCTGCTGCAGGCAGAGGCAGGGCCTCCCCACACTGGGGCCTCACTGCTGACCAGGACGCCTCAGCCAGGGACTCCTGTCCCAACTGAACATTACAGCCCCATCCCCCCATGGCTGTTCCAGCCAGCCCGAGTCTACACGCGGCAGACCCCTGCCTGGCCGTCCAGGATCCTGCTCAGCGGGGTGTGTGTGTGTGTGTGTGTGTGTGTTGGTGGGGTCTTTGTGTTCTCCAACCACACAGACCATCTGAGTGCTGGGGCCTTCCCTGGGACACAGTTAAGTATCTCTCTTGCTCCAGCCCTTGCTCTCAAACCTGTAATTAAGCAAAGCCCCTGGTGTGATTATGCTTTGCTGACTCGGCTGGGTTTGGAGCGGCTTCCCTCTGTGAAACAGGGTGAACTCTTGCTCTTTGCAGAGGCTTCCTGGCAGCCGATGGTGCATTCTATTGTCCATCTGTCTGTCAGTCTCTCTCCCTCTACTCTTTTCTTCTTCTCACTCCTCTATGAATTCTTTCTTTATCCTCCCCTCCTCCTCCTTCCCCTCCTTCTCTCTGTTTCTTTCTCTCTCCCCTACTATTCCTCTTCCCTCTTCACCTCCTCTAT